TAAACGATAGAAACTAATCTTTATAAAAGGATATTTAGTTCTATATACTTGAAGCGCTTGTTAGGAGTAGGATCTGAGTGGAAGTAATATAAGACTTCTGGTGTCAGACTCTTGAGGTTGGTTTTCGCGGATGAAGCAACAGGGTGGTATGAACAGTGTCTCTGCAAGTAACTCTTGTATTGTACTTGTACTCGTAACTTAAGTAATTGAACACAATGAGCCATAAGGGCTACATTGCCTATGCTATATACCTATGGTGCTCGTAGCCCTCGGTCAGAGGAGTCCGAGTATTGCTCGGTGGCTGGCGCACGAGGGGCTTTCCTCTGTGGCTTATGTACGAGGAGTCTGCCAAGACCCTTCCTCGTGCATAGAGGTCCGAGGAGGTCACGTGATCCTCCCTTACTCTACAAAGAGGGCGGGGTTGACTGGCTGTCGTCGTTCCCTTAACTTAACCGCTGTGCCTTCCTCCCTCAGGTTCGTAACACCATCTCCCTCCTTCCTAAGCTTGTCCTCAAGCTTTTCCGTATGCCTGTGGCTAACCATGTCCGCCCCTAGGTCCAAAGAACATCTTCGTCTTGCTCTTGAGATTCGTCGCAACGGTCTCCCTGCGCCCGTCCCCTGCGATTATTGTTTTGCGAACAACCGTCAGTGCGTCGCGATGCCCGAAGTCAATAGCAAGCGTTTGAAGTGCTCAGAGTGCACTCGTCTGGGTCACCCATGTGTGAACATGTCGTGGGTGTCTCTAGACAAGACTCGTGAAGAGTATCAAAAGAAGGTGGATGAGGATGAGCAGCTGTTGGCTCAAGTCATTTCGCGCTTGATGCGAAACAAGAGGATTTTGAAGCAGGCTGAAGAGCGTGCTGCGAAAAAGACTATGTGTCTGGCGAATTCCTTGCGCGCTGGTGGTGATGACGTGGATGCGCAGGAGTCCTTGGACTGCCCCGCGGCGGATGCGTTGGTGGGGTTTTCGCCGGTTATGTGGAGTACTTTGGGGTCCTTAGACGCCTTAGCGTCGCCCTCGAATCCTGGCGATGCGCCGGTTTTCTCCTCATGATGGTAAGTTCTTTTTTGTATTTTTTGAGTAATTGTTGGCAATTAGATAGGTTGTCCTCTAGTTCCCATGTGTTTTCGCTGTCTAGGTATCCTAACTATTTGACTAGGTATTTGGTTCCTTGGATTGTCGCGCGGTGTGCGAGGATTTTCTCGACTTCGAATTCGTTTTCTTCCTCGGGTTCGTAGTGAAATGTTTTTTTGTAGTAGCGTTTCGGGGTCTGCTGGTTCTAATAGGCTGATATAGAATCTTGGGTGTATCTTTGCATCTAGTGGTAGATCAAGTGTGTACGTTACTAGTCCTTTCTAATCGAGAATCAAAAATGGTCCGACCTTGGTGTGATCTAGTCTTTTGCTTGGTCGCTTCGTTCGAAGATTCTTTGTGAGTAGGTATACTCTATCCCCCCTCTTTAGCTAAGGTGCCATTTTTCGTTTTTTGTTGACATATAAGATGCTTTGCTGCTGAGCGTTTTCAAGTGCTTTTCGGAGTTCTTCATGTATTTTCTTAAGTTCTTCAGCCGTGGCTATGGCTGCTTCTGTTTTCTAACTTGGGTATGTCCTGGTAAAGAGATTTGGGTGTCTCCCGTGGTTTGCGTAAAATGGTGTCTTTCCTGTTAATTCCGATGTTTTGTTGTTATAGGCCATCTGTGCTATAGGTAGTAGCTGTACCCAATTGTTTTGTTGGTAGTTGACATAGATTCTAAGGTATGCCTTCATTGTTCTGTTGGTTCTTTCTGTTTGTCCGTCGGTCTGTGGATGGTATGCTGTCGATAGTTTTCGCTTTGTGCCTATCGCGGCTAATAGCGTTGTCCAAAAGTTTGATGTGAAGAGCTTGTCTCTATCACTGATTATTGACCTTGGTATTCCGTGGTGTCGGATGATTCTGTCGTTGACGATGTATGCGAGATCCACTGCTGTGTAATCCCTTCTGAACGGTATGTACTCGGCTTGTTTGGTGAACCTATCCACTACAACTAGTATCGCGTCGTAGGCGACCTTGGTTGCAGGGTCTCTTGAAACTGGTAGGCCTGTAACAAAGTCCATGGAGATGTCTGCCCACGGTTCTCGTGGTAGCTCTTGAGCTTGCATTTCTCCGTAAGGTGCATGAGTACTATGCTTGTTCTTCTTGCAGTCTTCGCATTTGGCGATGTAGGATGCAACTTTGTCTTTCATCCCACTGAACTGATAGTTTCTCTGGATTAGTTCCATTGTTCTGGCGATTCCTGGGTGTCCGTGCACAGGATCGTTGTGATGTTCTTCGATGATGATCTGCTGTACTTCTTTAGGTACGTCGTTTCCTATTTTTATGATAATGTTGTTTTCGTGTGCGGGTCCCATTGTCCCGTCTTGGTTCATTTTTAGTATTGGTCTGTCGACTATCGTCTTAGTTCCTGCGATGTCGTGTCGTCAGCTAAGAGCGTCAGCTCTTCCATTTTCTTTTCCTAGAGTGTAGACAATCTTAAACTTGTATTGCCCTAGTAGTTCAGCCCATCAGGTCTGTCTTCGGTTGAGTACCTTCGTCGTGGTGAAGTGTACTAAGTTCTTGTGATCCGTGTAGATCGTGAGTTCTGAGCAGCTCTCTGCATAAACTCTCCAGTGCTGTAGGCATGCTACTATCGCGAGTAGTTCTTTGTCGTGTACGTCGTAGCGTTCTTCTAGTCCTGAGAACTTCCTTGAATAATATGCGACGGGGTGCCATTTGCCGTCTATGAGTATGCTGGCGCAGCCTCCTAGCGCGAGGTCTGATGCGTCTGTTTCGAATTTCGTTGGTAATCCTAGGATAAATATCCGGAAGCATGGTGGCGTAATGCATGCTTTCTTAAGCGTTCGAAATGCTTTTCCTGTCTTGTTATCCCATTTCTATAGGGTATTCTTTCTTGTTAATCGCGTTAGCGGTATCGCGATCTTGGAGAAGTCCTTAATAAACTGCCTGTTAAAGTTCACGAATCCTAGAAAGAATTGGATGTCCATGACTGTTTTTGGTGTTGGCCAGTTCTTGATGACTTCGATCTTTTCCTCGCTCATCTGTACTCCGTTGACCCCTACTACGTAGCCTAGGAAGTTGACCTTGGTCTTGTGGAATTCACACTTTTTCAGCTTGAGTCTGAGGCTGTACTCGTCCAGGGCCTGTAGTACCTGCTTGACGTGTTCAGTATGTTGTTCCTCTTCTTCTGAGTAGATTAGGATGTCATCTAGGTAGGCGATGACGAATATATCCAGATAGGGTCTGAGTACGTTGTTGATGAGTTCTTGAAACGTGGCTGGGGCGTTCGTAAGCCCAAACGGCATGACGGTGTATTCGTAGTGTCCGTATCGTGTTCTGAAGGCCGTTTTCCATTCTTCACCTTTCTTGATCCTGATAAGGTGATATCCGTCTCGGAGATCTAACGCCGTGAAGATCTTCGCTCGAGACAATCGATCCTGGAGCTCAGTGATGTTTGGTAGTGGGTATCGATTCTTAATCGTGATATCGTTGAGTTGCCGATAATCGACACACAGTCGATCTGTACCGTCTTTCTTTGGTACAAACATAATTGGATATCCTGCTAGTGACTTCGATGGTCGTATGTATCCCTTGGCTAAACTCTTGTTGATGTATTCTCTTAGTACGTTGAGCTCTCTTTCCGATAGTTGATATATGGGCCCGAAAGTCGGTTTCTTTCCTTCCTGTAGGACTATCTCATGGTCCCAGGGTTGATGCTTTGGTAACGCTTGGTCGTCTACCACTTCCTGAAATAAATGTTCGTACTTTCTGTATTGTTCAGGGATCTCTGGAGTTGCGCTGTTCTCCTGTACTCTAGCTTCGTGATCCGTTGGCCTAGTTTCGGTATCTGCTGAGTTTGGCTTCCTGCTCTGGGAACTACCTGTCGAGTTCGCTTTCTTTTCTGCGATATTGCACTGCTTGGCAATGTTACTCTTATCTACCATCAGACTCTGCCGATGCGTAGGCTGGCTTGCGGTTGCGTCCGTTCCGCAGCACTCAAATTGGAACACCTTCGACTTCCAGTCGATCCGCGGGTTGTGTTCTCGTAGCTATGGGAGTCCTAAAATGATGTCGTAGGTAGCTAGTCCAAAGACGTCTAGGTCTATCTTCTCCTCATGCTCTTGGATGCTAAGTGTCACCTGTCTGACCTCATGTGTTATTCTTTCTTCGTTTGGCATTGGTTCGCCGTTGGCAACGTGTAGTGGGTATGGCTGTTGTTTCCGTAGTTGGGTAAGTCCGGCTTTCCTAACTGCGTGCGCTGAAACATAGTTCGCCTGTGATCCTGAGTCCACTAGTGCCTGCATCCGTTTTCCGTTGAGCTCTGCTGTGAGCTTTATCAGTCCTAGGGGATTTACTGTATTGATCTCCCTAGAGGGCCCTGGCTCTCGTGGCGCTGGCCTAAAAAAGACTTTACCGGGAATCCGTAATATTCTTTGGCTAGGACATGGGTGTCGCAACTGTCGCTAAGACATGTCTGCTAGTCTTGTCGTTGACAAGCGTACGTGTGATCGTCCACGTACTCCGTCCGGTATACTGTTTGCATCTGTATGACCTCTTGTGGGTCGTCGTGGCCTGGGAAGTGCTTCTTCTCCCTCTTGTCCCATAGGTGTTTTGGGCATTTGTCGTCTACGCATTCGAACCAGTGGTATTTGCATTTAGGGTATCCTCGGATGGTCTTAGGATTCCATCCCGCTCCTTGTTTGTCTGAGTAATGGGCTGGGCAGTAGGCAGCTAGGCATGCTGTCCATGAGAGTCGAGCATGGTGTGCGTTGCGTGCATCATACCAGTACCAGTTGTTGTTGTCCTGCTGCTGCCTGGTGGCTTGGTATTCCTTTTGTGATTGTTGCCATGCTTCTTGTGCTTTCTGCGCCCATTGTGGCGTACTGGGTGGAGTTATCTGTTGTACCGGATCCCATCGGGGTTCTTCTTGAGCGGGTTCCAGCTCTGTCGGCTTTGGCGTAGCGGGTCGGTTCCTTTCCTTGAACCTAGCTATCTTCTCGTGCTTCGTAGGTGCCGCAGGAAATTCTTCTTCTGCTGGCGTCTCGTATTCCTCGTCGCTAAGCGGGTTCTTTTCGTCCTCGCTGCTCTTAGCGGTGGTAAGCATTACGTCCTTAAGTCCTGTGATAAGTTCTTTATCAAGCAGATGGTATTTGACTTAGGCTAGGGTGATAACGTTCCATAACTCGCCATCGTCGAGGCTGGAGTCTTTTCGGATAACGTTCAGTTGTCGAGTGACCTTATTCTTGCTTCGACAGTCTCGTGCCATATAGCCTTCCTTGCCACAGGCGTAACAAGTAATTTTCTTTCTGTCCTTGTTGTGTTGACCCTTAGGTCCTTCGTTTGGCTTAGCGCGTCCAAATCCACGTCCTTTGTTGAGGTTGTCGAGGTGCATAGGTTGAGCACCGTACCCTTAGTAGGATCCTGGCGTGGATGGTATGAAACCGCGCTGCCTTCCCGTATTAGGGGGTGAACGTCGGTATTGCTGTTGTCGAGGCCGATCGTTCCTATCCTGTTGTCGCGTTCCCTAATTAAACAGTCGTTCTTCTAGCGCTAGTTCATATAAATCGTTGTCGACTCTAATGGCTTCTTCCATGAGTTCTGCTAGCGTGTCGATGTTGGCTCCACTTCTCATAAGTTCTCTGCGCACTGCTGGCTTAAGGCCTTGTCGGTACATGCGCATAAGTGCTTTGTCGTCCCAGTCGATTCTAGTGGCGTGCTGCTGGAATATCGTCGTGTAGTCGGCGGCTAGCCCTGTCTGGCGTAGGGTTTGAATTCGTTGTTCCGCGACTACCGATTCCTTAAAAGGTGAGAAGTTCTGTCGGAGTTTGACCTTGAAAGCGTCCCAGTCTTCCACTAAGGCAGTGTTGTCAGCGTTAGTGATGGAGTCATCCATGTAACGTTGAATGATCGGGTTGGCCCATTTTTCTGCGTCACCTTGGAAGTAGGTGGTGGCTAAGACAACCTTGTTGTTGTCTTCGATTCTGTCTCCTTGTAGGTGGAAAAACCGGTCGACCTGGAGGATCTAAGCTTCGAGCTTGTTGCGGTCTCCATGGTACAAGTCGGGCTTGTTACCACAAGTGGATGATCCTCTAGTGAGGGAAGCGTTAGGAGTGTTCATAACAATGTCGCTTATCTTAAGGGTGTTCAAAGTGTTAGGAGTAGGATCTGAGTGGAAGTAATATAAGACTTCTGGTGTCAGACTCTTGAGGTTGGTTTTCGCGGATGAAGCAACAGGGTGGTATGAACAGTGTCTCTGCAAGTAACTCTTGTATTGTACTTGTACTCGTAACTTAAGTAATTGAACACAATGAGCCATAAGGGCTACATTGCCTATGCTATATACCTATGGTGCTCGTAGCCCTCGGTCAGAGGAGTCCGAGTATTGCTCGGTGGCTGGCGCACGAGGGGCTTTCCTCTGTGGCTTATGTACGAGGAGTCTGCCAAGACCCTTCCTCGTGCATAGAGGTCCGAGGAGGTCACGTGATCCTCCCTTACTCTACAAAGAGGGCGGGGTTGACTGGCTGTCGTCGTTCCCTTAACTTAACCGCTGTGCCTTCCTCCCTCAGGTTCGTAATAGCGCTACTCTTAGCTACTAAGGAACTATAAATATAGCAATTACTCTTAG